TCCTTTCAAGGCTGCACTTTGTGATCTTTATTCTTACATAGCCTTGTTATTTTTCTAGCCTATGTTATGAAGGGATTAGGTTGACGTGTGTGTGACGTATGTGTATGTGTGTGTATATGTGTGTGTGTGTGTGTGTATGTGTGTCTGTATATATGTGTATATATGTGTGTATATATGTGTGTGTGTGTGTATTTGTATATATGTGTGTGTGTATATATATGTGTGTATGTGTGTGTGTGTATAGTAGTGCAAGGCCAAGCTATTTCATGATCCATATTATAAAGCTGTGTTGAGAGAAGATGAAATGTTGCATGTGTTGGAGTAGAAGTTCCTGCAGGGATCTGGAAAGCGCTCGCCTTCTCGTGGTCAGCCTACTGCATCCCAGAGAGAATGCCTTCTTTCAAAGCATTGTGTATTGAATCGTGTGGGGACCCCAGATGCAATATCCCAGCTAGAAGCCTAGAGGTGGGAAACGATGGGGGATCTGTGCTCTGTAGGAGGTCACACGGACTGGTCCCTTCTTGGTCTTAAAATCCATGAAAAGGACTAGGGGGTCTAGAAAGCCCATTAACATCTTATAGAAAATCTTTTATTTAAACTTTTTTTTTCATTACAGTGATTTGTACATGGACGAGATCCGCAGCATGATTGCAAATAAAGCTGGGGAGCCCAGAGTTACAGGCATCTCAGTCTGGGTGGCCAGGAGAAAGAGATGCTCATGTTTCTGGGCAGACCCTTCTCTCGTCTCTACTCTGTCTTCTCCTTATCCCCTTTCTCCTCTTCTATAGCCTGGAGGCGCTCTCTCTCCTTTATCAGCTGCACGCCACAGTAGGTGATGAACCAGATGGACAAGGTGCTCATGGGGAAACCTGAGAGAGAAGGAGATAGAATCAGCCTGGGTTCAATGGCCATCTGCAGGGAAAGGCTGTTCTCCAAGTATGCTCGGTCAGTGAGGAAGAGGATCCTAGGAGTGGAAGACCTACAGAAGTTGTGTAGGTGCCAGATCCAAGGCTTGTGGTACTCCATGGCATTTCTGTATTGCCGTCAGTGGGTGTTGTGTCCAGCCCAGTGCTCAAGACCCCCCTGTTGGGAACAGCTTAGATGAAATGTGTGCCTAGATCCACCAAAATATCATGGGCTTCTAGCAAATAGCAGTGATCCTCCAAGCTCTGACTTTTCCATCTTCGCTGGAGCGTGCATCTCCTCTCCCCCATGCTCAGACTGCCTCCTTGGCTTTCTCCCAACATCACCAGCTCAATACAATCCTGCTTCTTGTCCTGGCCCTCTGCCACCTCTGCACTGGAAATCCCAAGCACACGTTGACCCACAACACCCGCGTCTTTTTCTTATGGGTAACGTGGGCATTGTGTGCATGCACGAATGCAAATCATAGGTAGGGGAAGCAGCTCGAAAATGGGGATATCACTCTATTGAGCCCCTGCAGCCTGAGAAACCTCTAGAGCAGCACCATAGCAGAAAGGAAGCCGTCCAGGCTTTGTCCCTGCTATAACACGACCTCTAAAAGAGGAATGCAACCAGCAAAGCCAACGAGCTCAGCTGTCAGGAGCATCTAACATGCTGAACCCACCGCGTCACTAGCCGAAGCCAGGCCTGGGGCGGGACAGGAAAGGGAGGGCTGTGGGAAGGGTACCAGACAGCTACTTGGCGTGAGAATACACATCACGAAACTATCACAATCCAAATAATCCTGCTGGTACAATGGGCCACGCTAAAACTAAAACCTGTCAGAGGTGATCTAGTTTACCATGCTAAATTGACATCTGCCATGATAAGAAGATGTCAATGTGTATTTTTAGCCTAGCAAAATGACACTTTTTGCGCCGTTTCGTGACATGTACCCAATCAACGCATAACGTGTACAAGCGCCCTGCTAGACCAAGCTGTGGGAAAAGCCTTCACGGTGTTGCTGACATCTATTGGTAGAGAAAGGCCCAGACAGGGTTATTTATTGTATTAGGAGGCTGTAGAAAGAATGGGCTTTAGTAGCAGGAGCGATCGGGTGGAGATGCCTAAGAAACTATTAAGAAGAAAAGGCGAGAAACGAGGAAATGCATCTGTCACCCGTCAACTCGCAATACGAAGAGCTGCTGACACAGAAGGAAGGGAAAGGCAAGTCAATCCCATACACCACCCAGGGGCCCATTGCCCAGGCATGGAGAACTGGGCTTGCCCCCTGGGAGACCAGACCTCTTGCACTGCATTGAAGGGTCTAAACCCAGGGCCCAGCCCCACTGTGCACCGGAGTCTAGACCAGTGTTTCTCAGCCAGGGTGCTGGAGCATCCTGGGATGCTGTGAGATCCTATTAAGTGTGCCAAGGGCTGCTGGTAGGTATGCAAACACCTACATATGATTCAGAAGATAAACCCAGAGATTTCAAATAGGATCTGATAGTGTCAAGACCCTGTCATGGTCTTTCTGAGTTTTTGCAACAGCTGGTTTGCTCTAGTTTTTTGGGTTTTTTTTTTTTATCAAGAACTGAGTGACAGCTAAAAGCTGGCATTTCCCAAGGGGTGTCTGGAGTCTCACAAGGTTGAGAACCGCTAGTTTAGACTGACCAGAACAGGGTAGAGATGGGAAAAAGGCAACCGCATTAACTCCATTGTACAAGGGGAGAGCTGAGGTGCTAGGAGATTAAGTGAGGTGCCCAAGGGCAAACAGTGAGTGTATGGCAAAGCTTGCAACTTGCCTGTCCCAGTCCAGTGTTATAACCACTGACTCTCCTTCCATTAAGGCTGGGGCTCCAGGGCGGGGTGGGGTGAGCTTGGTGTAGTCATTTCTGCAAGCCAAGAACTGGCCTTACCCGTCAGGATGATTCTCTTAGCGACAAGCAGTGCGAAGTCCAGGCTGTTCAGAGCCAGGATGTTGTAGAGGATGATGGCCCAGAAGTTGGCAGCCCCGAAGATCCCTCGAATCCGCCGAGACATGGCTTCTGGCATGCTGGCCTGTGCAGAAAAGCAGAGGGGTGGGAGGGTAAAGAGACAGGGACAGAGGTCTCAGGGGGTCTCTTCCTGTTCATCCCTGGGTAATCCTGTCTGTCCAGGTATGCACCGGAGGGACATTAAGGTGGTAGATGATCTCCATACTGTTTTGACCTTGCTGCACCCCATGAGATACAGCGTCGCTATGGGACACAGAGCAAGTGAATGCTTTTCCACAGTCACCAAATGCCTGCAGCACTGCAGGGACTTGGACCTGGGCTTGCTGAGCCCCAGGGTAGCAGCCTACCTCTAAAATCTCCTCCCTCCTTGCTCTGGCCTATCATTGCTCCTCTCTGTTTGGACTGCAGGACCTTTGAACATCATGCATCAAAGTCCTAACTGCAAGGTGAGGTTCCTAAAACTTCATGCACGGCCACGTCTGGCCGTCACGTCTGTGCTGGATGCCGACAAAGCCTGCAGTGTCCTGGATAGAGTGGCCCTCAGCCCTGCAAGGCAAAACCTGGAGTGGTTGATGGGTGTTGTGGCAGAAAGCCACCTTGGTTTCTCCCCAAA